TGAACAATAAACTAGTCATATAAGATATATTCACCCTATTTCCTTTAAGGTTGGTTTTTTCCACAATGACATAAGTAGAGCTGATGTTTTTCATTGACTTTCACATAGCCTCGCTTTCAAAAAAGGTGTTCGCATCTACGATGGACTGCAGTTTTGACCTCGCATAGGTCATACCAACAAAGCAAGTAGGAGTCGGACCATGACAATGCACCGCATAATCTCGACACGTCAACCATTCCCCAACATTGCCACAAGTGCCTTCAGATCACAGGGCAGATGTGAATTTAAAGGAATGTCGGGCATTTTCCATATCACATTCTGTGTTTGGAATGTCGATGAAGCAAACGTATGTCTGCTATAGCAATAGACCACTTTACTTTCTTCGTAAAAATGAATAGATATATGAGCTGTGTTCACACTATTTCGTTTAAGGTAGTCTCGACATCCTACTCACTTACTAAAAAAGTAATATCGTCGATTGCTACAGCAAAAATAAGTTTGCTTCATTGACAATTCCAGCACAGAATGGGATATGGAAAATGCCTAACATTCCTTAAAATTCACATCTTCCCTGTGAACCGAAGGCACTCGTGGCAATGTGATGTATTGGTTAATATGTCGAGCTTCCATGCTGCACTGTCATGGTTCGACTCCCATTTTGGATGTTGACAAGAACTAGGCGGGGTCGAAATCGCAATCCACCCTTTTGGGAAAGTAAAACTATGTGAAATTCAATGAAAACATCAGCTCTACTCATATCATTGTGGGAAAAGTCAACTACCAGTCCTTTATCATCTTAAATGAAATAGGGTGAACACAACTCATATATTTGATTTACTGGTAGTCTCGAAAACCTACTCATTTTTACGAAAGAAATTGGTGTGAATACTTTCATTTTGTATGAAAGTGCATGATGAAGAGATTTGTAGGCCACTCTCACCACAAGACATCGGATGTCTCGCGTTTTACTGCAGCCGCTTGGCTTTAATACGACGTTCCGGTTGATGTAATCCACGAGGCATCCTCCAACTTTTCGGGCGAAGACGGGCTGATCTTTCGTTCGTCCTACCACATGACGAGCATCGTCATAGCTGGGGCTTATACTTGTAAAAGCCTCAAGTTAACACAAAGTCAAGAAGACGAAATCTTCTTGGAATTGGATTTGAATTCACACAAATACAATACCATATAGGTATAAAGCTGAAGAATCATACAGTTTATTGTTTAGCCAACATATCAGCTGATTCTCAAGAAGAAGAAGAAGAAGAAGAAGAAGAAGAAGAAGAAGAAGAAGAAGACTTCTTTACTTGGTATTAACTGAAGCCTTTTGCAAGAATGAGTCCCAGCTCTGACAACGTTCGTCACGTGATGAACGAAGGCTCAGCGGTCTTCGCCCAAAACGTTGGAGAATGTAACGTGGTCTGCATCAACCTGAACGTCGTATTAAAGCCAATCGGCTGCAGTACAACGCGAATCAGCCGACATCTTCTGGCGAGTTTGATCTATGAATCTCCCCATAATGTACTTCCATATGAAATGAAAGTCTTCACATCTCTCTTATGAGATAATTCTAAACCAGCATTTTTTTCGTATGCATAAAGGACTGGTAGTTGAATTTTCATAGCATTGTGGGAAAATTCAATCACCAGTCGTTCATCAATTTTAGCAAAATAGTGTGTCATCCCGTATAACTAATTTTCTGCTAGTCTCTAAACCCTACTTATAAACAAAATATAACTAAAGTAGTCAATTGTCATAGCAAATATAACTTTGCTTCCTGGCGATTCCACCACAGAATGTCATAAAGGAAAGTGCCCGGCCTTCTATGAAATTCATATCTGCCCTGTGACCCAAGACCACACGGGGAAATTAGACATGTCAAAATTACAGTCTGCACTACCATGGTTCGAATCCCGCTAGGGATATTGCCAAGACCTAGGCGAGATCGAAACTGCAGTCCATTTCGGATGAGAACACCTTTTGGGAAAGCAAGACTTTGTGAAATTGAATGGAAGTGTCAGCTATACGCATATCATTCTGGGACAATTCAACTACCAGCCCTTCATGAAATTTGATGAAATGGGGTGATTACATTTCATATAACTGATTTACTGGTAGTCTCGAAACCCTAATTACAAACTAAAAACAGGAACCTAGTCGGTCTAGATCGCTTTAGGTGATTTTGGGACAGATAAGTGAGCTTTAATCCTAATCATTGAATTTCACATAGCTTTGTATTCCATAAGTTTATCTCATCCAAGCTGGAATCGACTGCAGTTTCGAACTCGCTTGAACTGGTATCATCTGTAGCTCCAACAGAACGCGGTACTGGGTCGTATAAACATTCAGCTACATGGCCACAGCTACAGGCAAGTCACAGGCCAGATGCGACATCCAAGGCAGGCCAGACTTCTCCTAACTCACTTTTGTGCGCGAACTTTGTTGCTTAAGGTGCTTTATTTGAGGCCTGACGACTAACATTTTATTCAAGACTTAAACAGAGAAAATAAGTAATTCTATCAATTACACTTGGAAACACATGTCTGCATGATCGGAAGAACAACAGCGTTTGAAAGAATTACTTAGTTATCTATTGTAACAAGACTTTCCAGTTTGGAGGAAAAGTTAGTTGGAAGCAATTCGTGTTAGTTTTCGTGTAAGTTTTCGACAAGCAATTTCTATAACTTTGCTGTTGGCACATGAACAGTCGATAGAAAGAGGGATTTGCTCATAAGTTTCGGTATGGCGTCTATGTGCACTAAGATTCCGATACATTCAGAGATACAGGCTTTAGCATTAAGTTTAAGTCAACACCGGGAGATCCCAGCGGGTAAAAAGTTAGGCAAAGTCACTATAATTAGATTGGCTAATTTAGCTATGAATAGTACATATTTTGTCTTTAATAGCAAATTGTAGAAACGAACACCAAGTTTAGCTATGATATCCGGGTTAGCTCCACTTTTAGCTAATAATTACAAGGCTCATGTAGTTTATAATCAACTTATTGCCGGTATTCCTTGCATTCAATGAATTTCCTATTCGGTTTATCTCGATGGCTTCTCTACTTTTACGATTAGCCGCAAACATGCCATAATCAGCAAAACGACAAGTTTGAGACCATTAAACCTCGTGTTCAGTTCCTGCATTCTGCTCAGCCAGCTCAGATTTTTGAACCCAACAGCCTTTGAAGGCGCTTTTGTGCTCAGCCACTCTTTGTCGAATGGGACGACAAGTCTCTCCAACATAAAAGCGACCAAATGAACACATTATTTTGTAGCAGCCCGATCTGGATAATGGGTCAACTTTCTCTCTAAAAGTGGGCATAACTGAAGAAAGTTTTGTAGTTTCTTTGAAGACCCTTTTTATTCTCCACTTCCTTTCTTGTTCACCTCTCCTTTTAGAGAGAATGCACCAAGGTAAAGACAAAACACGAGAAAAGGTCTCCTTATCTCTCCTTACGTATTCACCATTCAAAAAAGCTATTCTCTATTAATCAAATATTATTTTAAATCAACCTAGTGGTTAGTTATTCTCAAGAAAAATTATTTCAAGCTGATACAGTTCATTACCATAATGGTCTTTATCGGCTAGTCTTATGCTCTGAATAATCATAGATTTTAAAACTCTAACCTTAGTTTTGCAAATATGATTGGAGAAGAAGTTAAGTAGAAAGCCAAAATGCGTTGGCTTTCTACATACATTTCTGCTTAACTTCTCATCTGCTTCGATCACCAAGGCATCTAGAAAGGTTAAAGTATTTTCTTTCTCCAGCTCCACGGTCAACCTGGCATTGCAGTCAATCTGGTTAATTAAGAACAAAAACTACCCTCACCATGCTGCTGTATGGCAAGTAGTCATCCATTTATCTAACTAACTGTTTTGGAGTCGATCTCATCTCTTGCATGAAGCGTTCGTGCATTCTCGACAAGTAATTATTCGCTAAAACGGCAGCCAAACAAGATCCCACCGCTAGGCATCTTTTAAAAAAAAAGAATTCATTATCCACTTCTCAATTTCTCCTTTACACACAAAAACGTTAAGCCATTCCCTAAGTATGGCCTTAAGACTCTCTTTGGGATCGTTCACTAAAAGTCTGTATGTTTCTGGGTCAGTTAAATGAACCATCATTTCTTATAAATAACTTAACCTATCCATATCGAACACTACACCTTAT